CTTTTTACTTTAACATCACTACATTTGAAATACAAATATTGTACTTTTTACTCTACATTTCTGTCAAGGTCTTTGAGTAGAAAGTAGTAAGGTCAACGACGTTGGATTTTGGTTGGAAATGAAAGTTGGAAGCCTGACTGATGTTGGTTTCTGACGTCAACAAATGTTTCATTTTTAACCACAATACAACGTCTGTCCAACGTTGGAGATTAACGTCAATCTGATGTTGGATTCTGACATCAACCTGATTTTCCTTTTCAACGTTGGCTTTGGTCTTCTAAATGCGAATTGTGTCATTGTTTTGGAGCACACTAGCTTATAGATAACAGTCAGGCTAACATATTCATACTAAAAGCCAAAAAACTTTAAATAGGGCACTATTTGAGGGAACAGCCATTTGGGTGTCCGAAACCATTGTGGACACATTCACAGTCTCACATTCAATCCCACTTCTGGAACTGTGTTCTAGAAATAAATGTGATATTGATATGAGGGTAGGTAGGCAGGCATATAAGGTACTGTAAGTATTACATACAACAATATAACAATAATAAAACAATACATTGACATTTACTTTTTAATTTTGAAACTTAAGTACTTTTAAAAACGAGTACTTCTGTACTTTTACTTAAGTACGGAGTTAACGGACTAATATTTGACCAGTAGTGTCTGTACTTTCACTCAAGTAAGAAAGTTGTGTACTTTGTCCACCTTAGAGCGACTTTCTGAACAATGTTGTGTACGCTGGCATAAGTGAATTACAGAAACCCATCTGAAGTTTTCAGGAGGCCATGCCATCTCCTCCATAGCAATGCCACATGCTTTCTGATGCCTCATACATCTGCTCTCACTCTCCAGACCTCAGCTGTCCGGATGGAAAACCATTCTTCATTCTTTCCACAGCTGAGTTTCTCCAGCGGTTCTTATTGAGGATCACTGAAACTCTCTGTAGTTCGTCTCCGCATCTCTCCAGTCTATGTGCTTTAGTTCATAATAGAAGATAATCTAATTAAAGGAGTAGTTCACCCCAAATTGTACATTTTGTCATCTACTCGCCTGCATGTCATTATTATTTTCCTTCCTCCATGAAATTGAGCGTCAGCGTCAGTTCTGGCAGGCCAGGTAGTCAAGCAGCTGCTTATGCTATTTGCTATCAACACTGTCCCGTCAGCTGATCTGCTCCAGCTGAGCCGCATTAGCTGGTTAACTCCCCTCGCTGTTCAATGGCCAAAGCTCAAACAAGGCGCCCTATTTAAAGCTCATTCACCCTGCTCATACATGCTTGCTGCTCGCTTCTGCTGGCTCGCTGCTCGCTTCTGCTGGCTCGCTGCTCGCTTCTGCTGCAAATATTGACACAGGACTCGACGTGATTCATTCTCCATTCATCTCTGAAAATCTTCACGAAGCTAAGTTCCTTTTTTCATTGCTAAAAGCTATCAGTGTGTTGGCAACATGCTTCTTGTTAATGCTATCAGTGTGTTGGCAACATGCTTCTTGTTAATGCTATCCGTGTGGCATTTGGGCTATCTAACTAGTCGTTTTCATAAAAATGCTTATGCGATCATATTGGCTACGTGCGTTATCTGTTGTCATTGGCAACTGATCGCGTTGCTCACGCTGGCTTTTACCACTATGCAGCGCAGATTCAAACAGCTTGCTGTGATAGGAATTAACTTCTGCGGACTGCCTCCGGACCGTATACAGCTACGCATTGTGCAACAACTACGGCGGCGACACTCGCTCCGGTTTAACCCTTTAAGCTATGGGGCGGTGGTTTCTGCTGCTTACGAACGATACCTCCGTCTGATGTTCGGGATATTCTTGACGACCAGAAGCCATGAGCTCAAGTCTCTGATTTGTTTCGTTAATAAAACACATTTGATCATTATTTTGCTCGCGCTCTGCTCAGTAACGCCCCTGAATGCGCTATCAGCTGTTAATTTATTCATCTAGCTCGTTCTCAGAGGTGGATTAGTCATCTATCCATAGAGCTTACACTGTAGACTGTCAAACAGTAAATACAGATAATCTAGGTAACAGCATGTTTTAGCTATTGCGGTCTTGATTAGTCATTTCAGTAATTAATTAATATTTTACTATTATAAATCGCTAAATTAGGGCGGCTCAGTCGACACCGTTCGAGACACTCAATTTTGTTTTGGGGGGAATAGCTCATGTGGTTAAATAATCATCCTCTGTATCACAGAGGATTGCCAGGTGTGGTTTTGTTTGGGGGGATATTCTAGCTCTCACAGTCTAAAACTGTGTGAGCGTTCCCTAATGCTGCTGCTGCTGTCCTCTGACTCTCTGCTATTTCATGGTGCTCATGAAAGGTCAGAGGACTCCCTGAACAGAGCCATACCGCCAAATTTCAATTCAGGAACATCAACCTGTTTGCAATCTATTCAAATAATTCTTAATTATTTTGTCTGTGTGTTCTTGACTTTATGGACCTGACAGAAATTGAGCGTCAGCGTCAGTTCTGGCAGGCCAGGTAGTCAAGCAGCTGCTTATGCTATTTGCTATCAACACTGTCCCGTCAGCTGATCTGCTCCAGCTGAGCCGCATTAGCTGGTTAACTCCCCTCGCTGTTCAATGGCCAAAGCTCAAACAAGGCGCCCTATTTAAAGCTCATTCACCCTGCTCATACATGCTTGCTGCTCGCTTCTGCTGGCTCGCTGCTCGCTTCTGCTGGCTCGCTGCTCGCTTCTGCTGCCCGCCACCTCCCCAGCTCCTCCTCATGCATAACGTGGCATTTGCTATGTCATGTTGCCTGCTCTGTTCACAGGGGGATATTCTAGCTCTCACAGTCTAAAACTGTGTGAGCGTTCCCTAATGCTGCTGCTGCTGTCCTCTGACTCTCTGCTATTTCATGGTGCTCATGAAAGGTCAGAGGACTCCCTGAACAGAGCCATACCGCCAAATTTCAATTCAGGAACATCAACCTGTTTGCAATCTATTCAAATAATTCTTAATTATTTTGTCTGTGTGTTCTTGACTTTATGGACCTGACAGAAACACAACATTTGATGTAGAATGTCCCATTTCCACCACATAAGAAAAAAACATACTTTTGTAAATCATCATGACATAAAAAGTCATAAGTATAAGATAAAACGTTGAAATTAGCAGTTTAAAAAGTCATAATTATGACATAAATTGAAATTATAACATAAAAAGTCTAAATTATGACAGCTGAAATGTGTCATAATTATGACAAAAAGTTATTATTATGACCTTTTATCTCATAATTTCGACTTTCATCTCATATTTTGACTTAGTATCTCATCATTTTTGTCATAATTATAATTTACCAAACAATTGTTTTAAAACAATTTCAACTCAGTTATTTATCTGTTTATGTGTGTGTTTAGTTAGTTTTATCGCCCAGTTATTACTTAGTATCTCATAATATAAACAGTTTTTGTCATAATTATAATTTACCAAAGCATGATTTATTTATGTGGTTGAAATGGGCTTCCATATGTCAGAGCTGCTCTTTTTCATGCAACAAAAAGTAGATGGTGGATGATTTATATTGCCGAACTGATTTTATGGTATGGTTTGTGGCCTAGCTAAACAAATCCAGCTTAGACTTTGTCTAAAATCTTATTTTATGTTCCACACAAAAAACAGAAAGTCATATAGGTTTGGAACAACATGAAGGGTTTTGTAAATGATGGCAGAAAATATAGTTTTGTCTGGACTGTTTCTTTAAGAGATCAGTGTGTTCAGTTTATACTAAAGTGTGTTGAGTATACTAAACTGCATGAGTATTAGTAGTATACCTTCAATCACAAACACAGCCTGATATTAAAGATACTCATGTGACATGTTATTCTCATCACATGTTTTACATTTATGAGCAACTTGCAGAAATCTAGAAGATTCGAAAAGATGTAATTGTGAATGCTGTGCAGTTGTGTCATTTCTAAGATGCATTCTGGGAAAAATGAATGCTAGTAGAGTCCAGTTGTTCCTGGCGTACATGTCTGGTTCTTGTTAGTCAGTAGGTATCATGTGTATCACAGCTTGACTGAGGTAATGCAGCATAACCATGCATGACGGGGCTACTGTATATCTCAATCTCTTCAGACTTTAAATAAGCATTCTTAAAGTTTTACGTGAGTAAACAGAGTATTTCTGCTATATCATGAGATGTCTGTACAGATACCAACATCACTGACAAAGACTATTGTTTATCTGTACTAGCTTTCTTCTTTCTTTCTTTTATTTAAAATAAATTCAATTTAAGTTTAAATAAAGAAAATAAATAAAGAAAAAGTATTTATTTACATTTATTTTAAATATTTTCAAATAAATTATTTACATTTATTTATTTATTTATTTATTTATTCAAATAAATGAAATCATTTTCCCTCAAACACATTAAGTCTGTTTATTTATGATGATATAAATATACATATATAATATTTCAGTAAATACATTTATACATTTTTATGTAAATAAATCTATTTATTTATTAATTTAAATACATTTGCTTAAATAATTTCAAATAAATTGTTTAAATTTATTAATTAAAATAAAATAAAAAATCCAGACACATTAAGTTTATTTATAAACTACATTTATTTATAATATAAAATATAAATATATTATATTTAAAATACATACATGTATTTACACAATTTAAAATAAATTTAAGTAAATGTATTTAAAAAGTTTTTTTTTCTAAAAACATTGTTTGAATAAAATTGAATTAATTAATGAATTACAAATATATTTAAAGTAAATACATTTTATTTATTAACTTTTTATTATCATTATTATTATTTTTATTATTTTAGGATTAAATAAGACAGTGCATGTGAAGTCAGCTGGTGATAATGACAAAATAAATCTTTTCATGGCGATACATCATCTTGGGTCTTTATATTATGAGTATCATATCAGCCTAAATTTGTATATCGGTGAATCCATAAATAATATTAATACTTCTGTTTTAATGAGTCTGTGTCTTTTCCATTTCTCACACACAGGGATCTACTTGCTGGACATGATTTACATCGACTCGGCCTATCCAGCGTCTGACAGCATCATTGAGACTCAGCAGAGAACCAATCAGATGAACAACATCCTGCGGGTGATCTCTGACCTCCAGGTGTCCTGCACATACGGTCAGTTCGTTTCCCTGAAATCTGTGGGGGGATCTCAGATTGATACACACGTGTGTTTATATACCCTCCACCTCCTCACAGATCACCTCGTGACGCTCCCGCATGTGCAGAAGTACTTGATGTCTGTTCGCTACATCGAGGAGCTTCAAAAGTTCGTGGAAGACGACAATTTCAAGTAAGTGAGGGGCTTGTGGTCCCAAAGGTAAAATGTAAAGGGATTTAACTTGCAGCGGAGCTCCTTCAAACAGCTTGATGACTTTAGCAGGACGCGTGGCACCAGAAGCCCAGAGCGAGGGCGACTCATGATTTAACCCATAGCCAGGAAACGGCGCATGAGTGCATGTGTTTTTTTTCTAGACGGGCATCCCTAGGCATTTGACACTGGGAATTCACGGGTCACTGCTTTTATAGGCAAACAACACCGCGATTAGTTTTTTGGGTGGTCGGCACAGTAAGAAGCAAAGTCATCACATAAATGTGGTGAAACTCTAACCGCTTTTAGACATTTTGATTGTACCATTAAATAGTGTTTTGCACAAATGCAATGTGTTTTTATTAAAAACACTGGGTGTTCTGTGAGTTTGAGCAACATGAAATTGCATTGCTTAAGCTCAGCAGGGTTTAGGCCGAGTGAGTCCAAACACATGCTGGAAACAACAATGAGATATAAATCCTCATATGCAATTTTTCTAAATCATATAACATATATTTACTTTATGCTTCCAGCAATTCTGTGTGAGAATTGTGTTTAAATTGCAATAATTGCATGGTTTTTTAGCAAAATTTTCAGACCATTTTATTTTTAATTCTATGATTGGTTATGAGAGTATATGAAGAGTTTGGTTCCAAAACGCGATAAACGCCATTTCTAAAAAAAAATTGTTACTACAAAAATCAGTATTGTATCTGGTTGGTATTGAAAAGTCAATGTTTAATTTTAAGTCAAATGCGATATCCGCCGTGTTATTCTGTCATGCTTTCTCCCTTTCTTTCCAAACCGTGACAAACGCCAGTCTCCCTTCTCTGCAGAATGCGATATATCCGCTCTCAACCAATCACAACGCACCATTCCACGCAATGTAAACAGTAACGGCAGCGCCTTAAATACACCCGGCTTCCTAGTTTTTCTTATCTATTTTGTACTTTTCAATCAACAAACAAACAAAAAAATTAATAATTTTGACGGCATTGATGAACCTGTGGTTGTTTCTGCGGTGGGTAAGAAACGTAAGGCATCGAAATCGAATCATTTACGTGAGGAGATTAAGAAGATGAGGCCCCTAGGGAGGAGGACAAATGTTTTCAATCTTCTTTACAGTTCTTAATAAAAATATTATACTAATAAACTTACGTTGTTGTGTATTTTCAACAGTTTCAATATGAAAAAAAAAACTTTTATATTGATTCAATGGATTAATTGCATTTTGATTTAAAAAAAAAAGGATTTATTGCATTTTGGGGAAAAAAAATAATCCGTTTTTATAATAAATCTTTGAAAATCAAAACCTGGATTTTAATTTTTTTTTGTTATTATGACCTACAAATGCTATGTGAAAGTTTGAAACAGAAAATAGTGGTTTTCATCTTTCCACTTTCTTGGTAAAGAAAACACACTTTTACTCAAATTAATCTAAATGGATTTATTGCGTTTTGGAACCAAACTCTTCATATATTGCAGAATCTTGCGATCTGATTGGTTAGAGTCAGAACGACCACAATGCCTTAGTTTAAAGGACAAGGTCACCATTTTTCAACCTGTTTTGTGTCGTTGCGCTCTTGGAAGTTTACACTATTGGTCAAAAGTTTAAATAATTAATTTTTTTTTGTTTTTTTTTTGAAAGAAGCCTCTTCTGCTCACTAAGGCTGCATTTATTTGTTAAAAAATACAGTAAATTCAGTAATATTGTGAAATATTATTACAATTCAAAATAACTGTTTTATAATTTAATATATTGTAAAATTGAATTTATTTCAGTGATGCAAAGCTGAATTTTCAGCATCATTACTCCAGTCTTCAGTGTCACATGATCCTTCAGAAATCTTTCTCATAAGCTGATTTGCTGCTAAAGAAACATTTCTGATAATTATCAATATTGAAAGCAGCTGTGCGGCCCATTTTATCTGTTTTTCTCTAGTCATGTAGCACTGATTTTAAAATGTTCAAACAAAAAAATAAAACAATTGTCCCATTGACTTCAATTGTACAGACAAAAACAACAGAAATATTCTTCAAGATATCTTTCTTTGTGTTCAGCAAAAGAAAGTAAGTCAAACAAGTTTGTAACAAATTTCCATTTCTGGGAGAACTGTCCTTTTAAATAAAGGGATGAACACTGTATTTAGCTGATGTGAACATGACTACAGTCCAATCTCAGGGATAAGATCCAGTTCTGGTTTCTGTCGAACTATTGTAATCATCAGTTATTAGTTGCTCCAACTTTAACCAGAAGCTTTAATGCCCATTTCAAAGAGTATGCAGTAGTTCTGTCTTTGTTTTAGTGTGAACTTCTGAAGTTCTCCTCAACCTCAATCCACATGAACATCTGTGAAGTAAGTTTGTGAATTAGCAATTCATCAGAGAGAGTTAAAAGAGCCTTTGATTATGCTGGATTTAAATGTTTATCCTGCGGGATGAGTGATTGTCTGTCGCTCGTCTCAACATTGAAGAGGCTGTTATCATTGGCATGCGCTGTATCAGAAGTACATTACCGATATTGATGTCTCAACATGTGATACTGAGTCCAATATCCTGATTCACCCGTGCTAAAAACCCGTGCATTCGTCTGTTGAAGCAATCATATTAGCTCAAAATTATGGAAAATTATCTGATGTTGCGTTTATAAAATGAATGTATCCTTTAACAGTCAACTTTAACAGATTTAAACAAAAGCATCATGTTTCCCAGCGCTTTTGTACCTGTCTGAAAGCAAATGTGTTTCCTGTGGACGTTCATCCGTGAAAGACTCAGACATAAACACATCCCAACATCACTCTTTCATTTAGCTCATCTGAAATCATTGTTTTCTTGGCTTGGACCGAATCCTGTGCTGACGACGGGCAATCAGTAAATGTCTTCAGTTTCACATGCCTTATACACAATTAAAAAAGACTTAAAAATGGTGTTGTGTAACCAGGAGAGAGTCAAGGCTCAACAATAAGGATTTTTGTCTTCTGACCTGGTCATTTTTACTGATACATTATTACCTAATAAAGTGGCCGTTAGTGTATTTTTTAATATTTTATACAAGTGGGAAACGGTACTGATTTTTTTCCAAACTATTTTAACTTTCAAACTATCACAAGTCCTTCTTGTAACTTCAACAAAACCTCATCAGTAAGATAGCATTGCAAAATTGTTTAGTTGTGTGTTGTTTAGGCACGTATTCAACGAAGTTGTAGTCATTCAAGCCATCGGGTCTTTCTTATTGTTGAGTAACTGTATTCTGTTAAAGTCACAATAAAAAGACCTGCAATAATACATTTTTAAAGTGTCTGATCCAGCTCTGTTTATACAACGGAGGAACTCTGAGCATCTGTCATGAGGGATATTTGTGGTTTGCCGTATCTCAAACCTCCAGGGTGTTTTTTGCACAGCTCAAGGCTGTTTTATTGCGGGTGAGATGGGCTGAAGTCCAAATCTCCAGAAGAGAGAAAAAAGTGCGATCATGATGATAGTCGGCGGTTCTCATGTGGTCTCCATGGTGACGTTTCGTCTGTGACCCCGTTACGACCTCGCATGGAAACCGTAGGGTGGGCTATTGAAGTTCATCCAGAATTGACATCATTCTGCTGGCTTTATCCTGCCCCGACAAATCTCCAAACCCCAGCCTCCCTCATCACCGCTGGCCATCTCACTTTCTGCTCCAGTGCCAGTATTCTGGATGGGTTGAGAACATGAAAGAAGCGGCCGGCTCTAGATCCACCGGTCTGGAAACACTACACATGCACTGGGGTGGAAAATCAACTTCACACACCAGACACAGAGGCTGTTCTACATTATTTCAAATGTATAAAAGTTTTGCATATTTGCCATGTAAATGTGCACTCTTAATAATAAAGCTTCCAAAATGGGGTTTCCACAGCGATGCCTTAAAAGAAGCATTTTTGGTTCCCAAAAGAACCTTTCAGAAAACATTCTTAAAGGGTTAGTTCACCCAAAAATGAAAATGATGTCATTAATGCCTCACCCTCATGTCGTTCCAAGCCCGTCAAGCCCGTTCATCTTCGGGACACAGTTTAAGATATTTTAGATTTAGTCCGAGAGCTTTCTGTCCCTCCATTGTAAATGTATGTACGGTATACTGTCCTTGTCCAGAAAGGAGATAAAGACATCATCAAAGTAGTCCATGTGGCATCAGTGGGTTAGTTAGAATGTTTTGAAGCATCGAAAATACATTTTGGTCCAAAAATAACAAAAACTACGACTTTATTCAGCATTGTATTGTCTTCCGGTTCTGTTGTGGATCCGCGTTCAGTGCCGCCGCTGACGTAAGACGCTGCTGACGTGTGTCTGGTGTGTGTGTGTGTGTGTGTATTCTGGTTCTGTTGTGGATCCGCGTTCAGTGCCGCCGCTGACGTAAGACGCTGCTGACGTGTGTCTGGTGTGTGTGTGTGTGTGTGTATTCTGGTTCTGTTGTGGATCCGCGTTCAGTGCCGCTGCTGACGTGTGTCTGGTGTGTGTGTGTGTGTGTGTATTCTGGTTCTGTTGTGGATCCGCGTTCAGTGCCGCCGCTGACGTAAGACGCTGCTGACGTGTGTCTGGTGTGTGTGTGTGTGTGTGTATTCTGGTTCTGTTGTGGATCCGCGTTCAGTGCCGCCGCTGACGTAAGACGCTGCTGACGTGTGTCTGGTGTGTGTGTGTGTGTGTGTATTCTGGTTCTGTTGTGGATCCGCGTTCAGTGCCGCTGCTGACGTGTGTCTGGTGTGTGTGTGTGTATTCTGGTTCTGTTGTGGATCCGCGTTCAGTGCCGCCGCTGACGTAAGACGCTGCTGACGTGTGTCTGGTGTGTGTGTGTGTGTGTGTATTCTGGTTCTGTTGTGGATCCGCGTTCAGTGCCGCCGCTGACGTAAGACGCTGCTGACGTGTGTCTGGTGTGTGTGTGTGTGTGTGTATTCTGGTTCTGTTGTGGATCCGCGTTCAGTGCCACTGCTGACGTAAGACGCTGCTGACGTGTGTGTGTGTGTGTGTGTGTATTCTGGTTCTGTTGTGGATTCGCGTTCAGTGACGCCGCTGACGTAAGACGCTGCTGACGTGTGTCGTGTGTGTGTGTGTGTGTGTGTGTGTGTGTGTATTCTGGTTCTGTTGTGGATTCGCGTTCAGTGCCGCCGCTGACGTAAGACGCTGCTGACGTGTGTCTGGTGTGTGTGTGTGTGTGTGTGTGTGTGTGTGTGTGTGTGTGTGTGTGTTCTGGTTCTGTTGTGGATCCGCGTTCAGTGCCGCCGCTGACGTAAGACGCTGCTGACGTGTGTCGTGTGTGTGTGTGTGTGTGTGTGTGTGTGTGTATTCTGGTTCTGTTGTGGATTCGCGTTCAGTGCCGCCGCTGACGTAAGACGCTGCTGACGTGTGTCTGGTGTGTGTGTGTGTGTGTGTTCCGGTTCTGTTGTGGATCCGCGTTCAGTGCCGCCGCTGACGTAAGACGCTGCTGACGTGTGTCTGGTGTGTGTGTGTGTGTGTGTGTGTGTGTGTATTCTGGTTCTGTTGTGGATTCGCGTTCAGTGCCGCCGCTGACGTAAGACGCTGCTGACGTGTGTCTGGTGTGTGTGTGTGTGTGTGTATTCTGGTTCTGTTGTGGATTCGCGTTCAGTGACGCCGCTGACGTAAGACGCTGCTGACGTGTGTCTGGTGTGTGTGTGTGTGTATTCTGGTTCTGTTGTGGATCCGCGTTCAGTGCCGCTGCTGACGTAAGACGCTGCTGACGTGTGTCTGGTGTGTGTGTGTGTGTGTGTGTGTGTATTCTGGTTCTGTTGTGGATCTGCGTTCAGTGACGCCGCTGACGTAAGACGCTGCTGACGTGTGTCTGGTGTGTGTGTGTGTGTGTGTATTCTGGTTCTGTTGTGGATCCGCATTCAGTGCCGCCGCTGACGTAAGACGCTGCTGACGTGTGTCTGGTGTGTGTGTGTGTGTGTGTGTGTGACGTAAGACGCTGCTGACGTGTGTCTGGTGTGTGTGTGTGTGTGACGTAAGACGCTGCTGACGTGTGTCTGGTGTGTGTGTGTGTGTGTGTATTCTGGTTCTGTTGTGGATCTGCGTTCAGTGACGCCGCTGACGTAAGACGCTGCTGACGTGTGTCTGGTGTGTGTGTGTGTGTGACGTAAGACGCTGCTGACGTGTGTCTGGTGTGTGTGTGTGTGTGTATTCTGGTTCTGTTGTGGATCTGCGTTCAGTGACGCCGCTGACGTAAGACGCTGCTGACGTGTGTCTGGTGTGTGTGTGTGTGTGACGTAAGACGCTGCTGACGTGTGTCTGGTGCGCCCGAGCTTCCTTTACAGTCTGAGGGAGACGCACGCTGGAAACAAAACAATCTTCGCAAACATGTCTAAGGATTTCCACACAGAGGAAGACTTGCATTTTTTTGCCCAGCCATATTTATTTGAACCCGAATACACGGACGCACCAGACACACGTCAGCAGCGTCTTACGTCAGCGGTGTCACTGAACGCGGATCCACAACAGAACCAGAATACACACACACACACACCAGACACACGTCAGCAGCGTCTTACGTCAGCGGCGGCACTGAACGCGGATCCACAACAGAACCAGAATACACACACACACACACACACACACACACACACACACACCAGACACACGTCAGCAGCGTCTTACGTCAGCGGCGGCACTGAACGCGGATCCACAACAGAACCGGAAGACAATACAATGCTGAATAAAGTCGTAGTTTTTGTTATTTTTGGACCAAAATGTATTTTCGATGCTTCAACACATTCTAACTAACCCACTGATGTCACATGGACTACTTTGATGATGTCTTTATCTCCTTTCTGGACAAGGACAGTATACCGGACATACATTTTCAATGGAGGGACAGAAAGCTCTCGGACTAAATCTAAAATATCTTCAACTGTGTTCTGAAGATGAACGGAGGTCTGACGGGCTTGGGACGACATGAGGGCGAGTCATTAATGACATCATTTTCATTTTGGGGTGAACTAACCCTTTAAGATTGGAAACAAAAATTGGTTGAAATATTCCCTTTTTAAAATTAGACATGTTTAGTTGGCATTAGCTCATACTCGGCAGTATTGACAGAAGTTGACTGAGCTTGTCGCAGTGCACTCTGGGATTGGCTTATCTGCACAGGACACATGTGGTGCTGCTTTAGGATTTGTCTAGGCAGCGTCACTTTGCCTACCGTTTGGAAACAGCCATTTCTCCTAGAGCTCGTCTTCGAGGCCTAAAAATGTAGTCTTGTTAAGCTTTGGAAGAGTTTTACTTTATCTGCTCTCTGAACTCTCAACCTCTGTTAAGTCACTCCAATCTCATCGGTAAAGATTTTTGTTTTCATTACTGAGAAGTGCAAAATAAGAGAATGAATGATTGATTGCTGTAATTATCGTTTCTCCGGGGAATTCTCCACACCCACCGGTTATCTGACTCTGAATATTTCAACTTCCTTAAAAGCAGTGTGTTATCCGTAAAGAATCTGATGTTTTCTTTCACAGATCCCCTGAACACTGTTCCAGGTTGTTGAGTTGATGTGTTTGGCGGTTTCATTTTGGCTATCAATAGATGCAGTCTGTTTATTTTTAGTGTAAATCCAGTTAAATTTTCCTGGACGAAGGTTTACAGATGTCATTTCTGCAGATGTAGGGTGGTCAAAGCCTTCTGAAAATATCCAATGATTTGATTATTACAAGCTATGTTTCCATCCACACGTTTTTATCCGCATTAAGTGATATCGAATGAAAAAAGCCTTATGGAAACAGTAAAATTCGATTGAATTTCATGAATATCGACTCAAATGAAATACGATCGGTCTCATCGGATTTTATCTTGATCGATATACGGCTTATGCGATAAACGCGGATGGAAACGTTATTATGGTGCGATCCATTTTGCCTAGTAAAACTTTGTTCGCAAATGTTGGCTTGAATGTTGTGCAATTCGGTGAGAAAATGAATGGAAACACCTTAACATGTCTCAAATCAATTCGATGTACCAATTTGATCGCAAAACAGCATGTGACGTCATTACGCACAGGTTTTTATCCGCTTTAAAGCCGTTTGATGGAAACACACTTTCACCAGCTTTATTCGCATGAGGTTTTTTACCGAACTTCAGATAATTCGATTGACAAGTGGATGGAAACATGGCTATAGACACGCAGTTATCGATCTCTTGTTCGCCAATAAATGTCCAACTGCTGCATTCTAGACGAGAAAACTGATAACGCCACATCTATTGTTTGTTAAAAAGAAGATAAGTTTGAATGTTAAATAATTAATTATGACTGTGAACAAATCAGAATAAAGGTCAGAATAAAGGTTGAAAATAATTTTTCCACAGGTTTTTGTGGAATTTATAACTTTATTAACATTACAAGGAACATTAAAATAATTTTTTTTAAATCCATGTCATGAACCCTTTAAATCAGAGCTATAGGAACATTAAGGTCTCTTTTGTTCTCACATCTCTCACGTTCTCACATTTTCAACAGAAAATCAAACCTTAACATCCCAATTTGCTTATAGCGTCATGCAAAAATCAAGTTTTTGTAAATATTCAGCCTTTTGCTGAGACTGACCGTAGTTGAAAACTTACATTTTTTACATTTATGCATTTGGCAGATGCTTTTATCTAAAGCGACTCAGAATCGATATACTTTTTTAAAATTCATGCATTCACTGGGAATCGAACCCGTGACCGTTTCGTTGCTAGCGACATGATCTACTGTTTTAGCTATACAGGAACTTTTTGGCTTTACTGTGTTTATTTTGAACATTCCTTTCAAAAGCTCACTTTACATTGTGCCAAAACACTATTAAAAAGACTACTTTTGCATATTCTGTGAATCGCAGTTGATGGTGTGGAAATCCGAGATTACAGTTCAGTTTATTGGATTGTTAACAATGAGTACCTTCTGTTCCCCTATAAAAACGTGAAATGTTATCGGCCCAGCTGATCCCGTTTGGGTTTCTCAATGTCAAGCACATGACTAGTGAAGCCAAATGTGAGCATGAACTGTGTGGGGTGTTACTTCACCTCAGAGGCCTGTAAGAGCCTTTTATAGGAGAGGGGTTTTGAAAGATGAAGTGGTGTTAGATCTGTTGTTTTGTAAGTGATGAAATGAGGTATCAGGCTCATTAGGACAGGTCAAGTAGCTGCACACTGACATGCTGTTAATATGTAAATGTAAGTGGTCATACCTGTAGTTTTGATGTCATAATCATGATTTTTCAAGAAATGTTTTAGTGCACTGGGGGAAAGTTTTGAGTGTCTATACTTCATCAAACTCTTTAATATGAAACGGCAAGAAAAATCCTGTTTTCCATGATATGCTTTTTTTAATTCAAAGTGACATCTTTTACAGTAACATAAATCTGAGGGCTTTAGGTTGCGCTGTTGGTTGAGGGTAAAATATTATGTAATTTCAATAACACGTCTTATTTGGGGTTTATGGCAGATCCTATTCAACTAAATTCATGCTCAAAGCCTGGACCTTCAGCCAGACATAAGTTGGTTTTGAAATATTAAATGCACCACCCTGAAGCTTCATGGAACTTGTGGAGTTTTTTTGTGAGACTTTTGCTTGTTCTTTCCATTACAGACTGTCTCTAAAAATTGAACCCGGGAACAGCTCCCCACGCTTGGCCACGTCTAAAGAAGATCTTGCAGGTAAGACACTAAATGTCATCATTTCTATTTGTTCATTTACTTTACACTGCAATTCAAAAGTTTGGGGTCGGTAAGATTTTTAATGTTTTTGAAAGAAGTCTCTCTTGCTTACCAAGGCTGCATTTATTTGATCTAAAATGCAGTAAAATTGTGAAATATTATTACATTTATCCACAGGAGAGATCAACATCTCCTAGCTTGGTTTAAAGGAATAGTTCAACCAAACATGTGATATCTAAGTTTCAAACTATGCTACTCTTGTGCTCCATGGAAGGAAGTATTTTATGTAACTATTTCTTTACCCCGTACACAACTCTACACTGATCAAATATACAGTAAAAATCACTAATATTGTGAAATATTATTAGAATTTAAAATAATTTGAATTAAAAAAAAATGTATTCCTGTGATCAAAGCTGATTTCTTTTCACATGATCCTTCATAAATCTTCCTCATATGCTGATTTGCTGCTCAAGAAACATTATTATCAATGTTGAAAACAGTTTTGCTGCTTCATATATTTTTTTGGAAACTGGCACAATTTTCACGTTTTCCAGGATTTTTTTATGCATTTTTTATTCCAGCTAATTAACGCTAAAGACATTGACAGCCAATCAGAATCCATCATTCTTTAAAGAGCTTGAGCATTTAAAGTGGCAGATGACAAAACTGCAGTGCACACTTATAATTAACAGGACGATATCGTCTGTTGGTGTGGTTCAGTTATCGTTATAGTTATTGTTCTTTGTTTGAACTGGCCTTTCCTGACCTCAAACTTTTGAATGTAGCCTATGTAACTTACTGTACAGAAGAGATAGTCTTTTTCCCCAAGCATCCATTATGTTCTCTAGCCTGGCTGAATGAGGTCACTGGCCCCTGATGTTAGAGTTAATGAAGGGCTTTGAGGGGCCGAGGGGGGCCCGTCCTCTTTGACTCATTGAAAGAGCAAAGGGAACTGGAATGGGCTGTAATGTAGGTTGAGAAAACAAACAGCACATAATGGCTCTCAACGGATCCCTCGTAACAGCAACATAGCAAATCCACATTACACCACCACACGGAGTTATCCGTCACTGAGCCCAGAAAACACTGATAAATAAACAAATACTCAGATTCACAGATTACATTTTTTTATATATATATAATTTCGATATATAATCATCAAATATATTTGACATCATCAAAAGCTTTTTCTATTAACCATACTATTATTTTTGGGTTTGAAATGCCTTGAATTATCCTTATAGGCATTCGAAATATTTCATCAGAGATAATAAACTTTTGGATCATATGATGTTATGTTTAGGGGATTAATTTACCATTAAAGGTGCTATATGTATTTTTTAGCGGCCTCTATCGGTGATGTTTCAGATTGCAACCAATTTTTACAAGAGCGCTCGTGGTCTTGCGCGTGCTCGAACTCAAGAGCGAGCACTCATGGTACCGGCCACACTGAGACTTTCAACACACCGGAGAAAGCATCACACAACATGCTGGAAACTCATGTAAACTCCCACTGCAACGTTACAATAATAGGCTACTTTTATCAGCTTGACGTTGAACTAATGCTCCATGCTCGTACCATGATAACGTTACATGGACTGCATTTAGCCGACATGTGGTGTTAGCATAATAAGGCATTTCACTAACTATTCTGTATCTTTCACAATCAGCAATGTCAACATAGGTGAATGTATAATATGATAACGAAAACGGTGAACTAGACTGAACAATGTCAGTGTAACAGTAAGACAGTAGGAAGTAACATTACTGTACTGAACGTGTCTGGAAATGTGTATTATAAACAATATGATAGTAGTGGGATGAGTGACGTTAGACAGTAGATCTAGTACATAAAATAAAATTTACATCCTAAAGCACCTACTTTTTGTTATCCAGGAACAGTCTTTTGTATTCATTTCATGTCTCATGTATGTTGTAGTTTACCTTGCCATTTCATTACAGTTTACCATTATTTCAGCATATCTGAAAACTTGTAATTTATCACAATAAAAATAGCGGAGGTCTCTCCATAATTCAAACGCTCTGCCGATGTTGATCCGTGTTTTCGTCCTGAGTCGATCCGATTCACGTTTGGCCCGACGAGCTTCAGCAGATACATTTTTGTTTTGTTTTTTATATTGATGTGGAGTTTGTGTTGGAGTGTGTGTTGTGCTGGAGGCAGGTCGTTGTTTAGTGTTATCATCAGACTCCATGTCGTCAGCTGCAGTGCCGTCGCATAGACTGTATATAAGGAGAGAGGCTCGGGAGCGCGCATGCACGTCACATCCGATGGATTTCGCAGAAAATCCGACCCGGAGACTTCACATAGAAATAGGAATACTGGCCTTCAGAGGTAATAGCAAAACTCGACAAGTGGATCATTGTAATGTGTGATTACAACCCCTTCACACACAGGCAATAACAAAAAAGATTCATTTTAGAAGAAAAGTTACATATAGCACCTTTAATTTACTATAGTTAATCATAATCATCTATAATATAATATAATAATTATGTATAATAATTTTACGCTTAATTTTAACTTGACTAAACTACAGTGTGTGTTTTGGCTCACTGCTCATATGAGCACATTTGTGCTGAAATTGAACAAACAATAGTAGATTAGTTTTAATGGATTAAATCACTATATATATATAATCACTAATATTTAAATATAAATCATAATCATTAACTCCTCTAATTAAGGTCTGATTTGGTTCATCACTGCCAACAACGGTTATGAGATTATTTTACGGTACTTATAACAAAAGTTCAAGCAGTCTGAGAGCACTTTCAGGATCTGTTGTGAATGTTAATGCCATATAATGAACATATGGGTGTGGATTTCTTTGAACTACATTGTAAATGCTGCATTTTGAAGTACATGCTCACATTGTAAAGCGCTGTTGCCCGTGAGGTCTAGTCACACGACACGGCGAGCCAACTGAGGTTTTCCAGTCATAATGTAAGTTCGCCGTGTGTATCGTTTCTAAGCATTTACTCCTGAGCCTTGTAACCAAATCTATAGGTTTCCATGTTCGTAAAGCTTAATCTGGATGTTGTTTGTTGGGTTTCCAAGACAATCTGTAACCATTCAGCCTCTCTTGCCATTTACTAACACGTTTTATTCTCATTCCAAGGCCTAAGGTTAACGTCTACATTACAACATTTGTAGTGATTGCAGTCCTAAAGTTTTTGATTGTTAAAAGACGTCATATGCTCTAGACATGTTTCCCCAGTGTAGCATCATGCCATCTGAATATCACCACCAGATGATCGACCGAGTGTAATATAACGCAGCGGTCTTAGTATATTAGCACCATTTGGCTTTTCATTCGTCATTGTTCCCTCTTATCCTTAAATGCCAATGCGTGACATAAAGCAATGTTTGGTATATTTAAAATGTTCTTTTATTGAATGAGATGCCTGTGGCCACGTCTCAGCCACATGGTTACATCACATCAAGTATTGGGCGGACAAGGTCTTTCCTGGAGTCTCATGGTTCTGGCTGTTACGTAACCCGGTAGATGTGTTTGTCAAGACGTCCAGCCGAGGAAATGAGATCTGTCCACAAAACTCAGGCCAGAAAACTCATAAAAACATAGACCATAGTTCAGACACAGGCCCTTTCTTTATTATGACTTTTTATGATATAAGTCATCAAAACTATGAAATAACAGAAACTGAAGTATGATGTAGGGACTAAAACATGTCGATGACCTAGTAGGCGTTTTTACATTTCTTTAGTGTGTAATGTTGCTGTTTGAGCATGAAAAGTCTCTATATCAGTGTCAGTGTTTCTGAACTCCTAAAACGCCTCCATTGTAGTCTTGAGTTTCTTCCGGGAACGAACACGTCACAATATTCCTCATTTAAATAATTCATACGCAGAATAAAGGGGCGGGGCCTGGTTGAGTTAGTTAGTAGTGTGTTAAACTGGCGGTTATGGTGAGGGGCGGGACATTTCACAAACACACTTGAAACGCTCGACCAATCACAACACACAGATCCAGCCGACCAATCAGAGCACAGTGTGCTTTACAGAAGGAGGGGCTTCATAGAGACAGGAAGTAAACAGAGCGTTACTGACAGACTGGGAAGAGAGGAGCCGCAACAATGGAGAGTATGCATTTCATTCAAGCATGAAAACCTGTTCTAGTAGTGCCCAAAAACTAAATCAGTGCTGAAAAACAGCATATGACAAATTTAAACAAATCAACAGCTGTCTAGATTCCAGCTCTGCTCATTTTTCCGTGGAAAAAAAACAATTTGGTGTAGAAACTGTTTTCTCTCAGAAATTGCTAGTAGATTTCACAAACAGTTACAAAGAAATGGCATTGAATGAAACATGAATTTTTGAAGTTGGACGTTTTTAATGTACTTATTCCTGTGATGCTTTTTAAACACTGTTGAATAAGTTAATATGCATGATAAACACTTGATGATTGATTTTCATCCACTATCTGCATGTTGCAAAGAAAGATTGGATTGTACGGTGGCCGAGAGAGCTCAAAGAGCTGCACCTGAAGAAAACGCATGCAAATAGAAAAACAGCAGCTAATTAGGAAAACATCTTCATCAATTTGACAACACTTGTGCTGCAAATACTCACAACGCAACAAAATACAGACACGCTGCAAATACTCACAACACACATACGATCAGGATGTTAAAATAAACAAGAAACTCATCTTTCAGGTCATCGACAACACCGTTGAGGAGTAGACATTGAACAATGCGCGGCAGAAACGTCTCACTGCTTTGAATGTTATTCTTAGCTTTGCACATTGTGCTTTCCCTGTCATCATTTACTTGTTTTGTGCTTGCACTATACCGTACAATTGTTTTTTGTTTTTTAAAGAAATTAATACATTTATTCAGTAAGGATGTATAAAGCAGCACAACTGTTTTCAATGTTAATTATAATCAGAAATGTTTCTTGATCACCAAATCATCATATTAGAGTGATTTCTGAAGGATCATGTGACACTGAAGAC